TACTACTTACAGGTACTTCATAGAAAATGAATTTTTTTATTGTATCACAGGTAGGGCAATGTTTGTTTTTAAAACTGTTAAACATTTGATTTGTTAATTATTGACACACGCGGTACAATTATTGTTTATGTTGTAACGTAAATTTAATTACGTGATTTATTTATTTACATTTAATTAACACTAAATTTATAACAGTTAACAGTTATTTATTATACAAAACGATAAAGGGATATTTTAACCATTGAGTGAAAGATGTTAGAGATGGTTAGTTTCCCTTTATCGACGTGTATAATACAAAACTTTATTTTATAGCAGAAGCCATATAAATCATTGTAAAGCTTAGACGTCAAAAATAGCAAGCTTAGGTTCTGTCTGTCGTCGCGACCGTTTCCATAGAAACAGAATTGTCATATGTTTGGACCATCATTTTATATTGTGCATTTGAAATAAGAAAGGCAGATGCCATTAGAATGCACAATCATTTGTTTCACTTTATTTACCCTTACGGTTAAAGTGATCACTTTATCTATCCTTACGATTAAAGAACGGATTAGCCCTGGGCTTAGCCTACTCATTCAAATCTATTAAAATGTCAATTTAACATTATAAAATAAAATATTATTTATCACTCACATATACTTACACAATTTATAATAGCGCGAACTACTTCGGCGTTGAAATTGGAACTGAACTGAAACGCAATTCGATTTTCTTATATAGAAAACGCCCCTTTTTCTCGAAAGTTCTCGAACGCACCTAAGTATTCTAGAATATTCTCGAACAAACACGCCCTTTTCCCGGAAAGACATCTATCTTCGTTCTTTATCGCCGAATCTTTCTAGGCGCCTCGACGTCAGTAGCCAGAAACATTTGCCGACGCGGAGTTAGAAGAGTATACGAATTCACGTAAACTAGGACCAATTTATTTATTGTGTGCACAATGCTGCAAGTTTATCAAAAATGAATGTGGAACTGGAAATGGAGTGTTTGCCTAATAACGCAAATTTAAATGAACGTTAGAGCAGCGGCGTTTAAGTAGACATATGTATCTCCATCTCCATTTCCACATTAACATGGAGTAAATTACGCGAATTAGTGTTTTTGATAACCTTGCTGCATTGTGCAGGCAATAAATAAATCGGTCCCAGTTTACGAGAATTCGTATACTCTGCTAGCACGGTAGCAAATGTTTCTGGGTGCGTGCGTGTGTAAAAATGACAATATTTTAAGCACACTTGCAGTGAAGTTTATACAGGGTGGTGCTTAGCGCGACGCAGCATAGGGATTTCAGTTACTAGCCCCCCTAATTATTTTAGAGCAAAAGTCTAAAAAGGTTTTTTTAGAGAAAAAAATACTGCATCTGTTCATACTATTACCATTTGTGGTATTACTCATAATTCTTTGTTTTTCAAAACCGTAGAAATCGACAAAATAAAAAGGTTCATTTTACAATAAATCAGATATGTACTTCTGGAGGTTGGTTTTGGAATGTTTACTATGGCTAACAGACCATAGGACATTTCAGCCCTAACACCAGCCCGCGTTTCCGTGACCAAGGGTCGGTGATGTCGTAAAGTCGGTACCGTTAGTTTAGGGCATAGTTAGTATAGGGCCAGTGTTCCAACAGGTCGACGGGCCCTCATAAAATTTATATTAATTTTCAGATTTTAGTTTTTAGATTGGTAAGTGTAAATGTTTATCGACATATCTTTTCAGAAAATACAATAAGTAAGTGTCAGGAAACTCGGAACTATTGCTTACGTTCGTTTAATTATTATAATAATTTTCATTTTTTTTCTTTTTTTTATTATTATAACGGGCGATCAAAAATGAGNGAGCTGAAAAGGTTTTCTCACTGCCGTCGACAAACACATGTAACTGAATCGGTGGCACCAGGTATTCTAGGATGGTAGCAGCGTGGTACTTTGACATCCTGGATCGTCGGTAAAGCTTCCAACCATGTGTAACGAAGCACCCGGAATTTCTCCATTTAGAGTGCCGTTTACAAAGACCACCCTGTATGTAACGAGTGGTTTGGGCTTCGTTACGCAAGGAGACCGCGTTATTTTTGTAACCACCGAAGGATGTTGTCCTCCCGAAGGGACAATTAATATTCTTTGGCTTCAGCGCCGTTAATTATTTATAAGATGTTTTAGATTCCCATAATAAGTAAAATCAAGGATAGAACGAGTTCAAATTGAGTTGTTTACAAGTTTTGCAGTCCCGTCCGTATGCCTGCATGTTGCGATAAGAGTGTTAAAGCGATAGCGCCGTTTGAGAAGAAGAAGTCCAAGGGAGCTAGATACAGATTGGAGTGATGAGTACTTAGGTTTGATTACGCTTAATTAGGTAAGCGCTGTTAATTAATACCATGTTAATGGGCAGTAGTAAACCTTGTCAGAAACCGTCGAGAGAGGTGTCCACAGAGGCGCTGTAATTTTTCTATTTGTTTGCAAGTTGTCCCAGATTTTTAAGATAACCACAGGAGCCGCAATTAATTAAAAACCGAATTATTTTCTACCGCGCTCGGTACGAGCACCGCCCGGCTTTGGAAATTCCCTGTTCCACTTCTACCAAAATTGGTTTCCTTTAAAAGGAAAACGCTCAATTTGGGAGGGATCTTTCTGCTTCATACTTTCGAGTTGTAAGTACGCCTTTTGATTTCTTTAATTTGCGAAACCGTATCATTCCGAATCCACCGAAACCCTTTTGTTTTACCGCTTTACCGTGTGAGCGACCGTAAGTCAATCCGTTGTCCTTTCCGTTTAACTACCGTTTTGAGTTTCCCTTTTTTGCACAACCGTAACCTTTTGCCACCGTTCCGCAAAACTTCATTATATTCTGTTCTCCTTGCTTTTCCGCTTTTCTTTCCCCTAGACACCGATATTTGATTTGTGCGTTATTGCTTTATTCCCTTTAGGAAATTTACCGTCCGGGCCGTTGGCCATATTTTGTTTTAGATTATCCGGAAGTTACCGCCGCCATTTTGTGGTGAACTCTTACCGATCCCTGGTAGATTCCGTTCTCCACTAGAGGATACCCGGAGGCTTTCCACCCCGTCCGACAAGACCGCCCCTTTCCCAAGACTTAGGGGGTGCAGATTAAGTCTTGGTGGCGCCCGAGTGACCGACCGACCGTCCCCGGTGTGATACTTGAATTGTACCTACCATTATTATTGTTCGACAATTAAATCAACTTGAATTAATTGTACTTTCATTATTTAGAATACCGTTCGTGCACGAGCTAAGGGGGAAGTTCGTCGTCGCATGTGTTCCAACAGGTCGACGGGCCCTCATAAAATTTATATTAATTTTCAGATTTTAGTTTTTAGATTGGTAAGTGTAAATGTTTATCGACATATCTTTTCAGAAAATACAATAAGTAAGTGTCAGGAAACTCGGAACTATTGCTTACGTTCGTTTAATTATTATAATAATTTTCATTTTTTTTCTTTTTTTTATTATTTATATGTACGACATACAGACAAACACTAATCGTTACTTGATTTTAAACCATGCGCTAGACTAAACTAGGCTAGACCTGAATTCTGACAAGAAACACCGATCATAATAATAAACGACTTTATTAAACAATTGCTGTATAGCCTGTCTAAACGGCGGAGTTCAGGGACAGGGATATCATCGTGTCTGCTCTTGCACTCAACCTTAATCAAACGTGAAGGGGTAAAAGCAGGGGTAAAGGTTTGTAACAAGTACCCTAAACGCACCATCTTGTTGGCAGAAAATTTCTGTTCGAAAACAATCAATCTGATTATTGATGTGGTTGAATAAAGAATTAAAAGACCTTTCAAATGATATACCACAAGCCTCTACCTTTTATTTAAAAATTTAGGGGTTTCCACTTTCGCCCTAAGGGTATAAAATTTAGGGATGAAATTGTTACACTCTCTTTAGGTAAATTTGTGCAGGTGATGAGCTACGAAAAAATGTTAAAATATGCAATATGTTTGTCTTTACTACAAGCATCTGTAGCTAAAATTTAAAAAAAAATCTATAAATAAGATAGTTGATATTCGTGCGCACATTAATCGTCGGACCGAGTTGTCATAATAGCGCCTTCCAGCATGAGTTAGAAAATGCATTAAAAATTATTATATTCTATAAAAATGTTGAAAAATTGTCTGTTGGTGGTCTCCCCAAGAGGTGAGTGCGGCGAAGGGGACTCCAAAAATTTTTACTCTGGAGTGGATCCCCCAGTATGGCATACTGGGGTTCAGTGCTGCCTAGTGGAAGTTATTTAAAATATGCTCTGTCTCACGTACGCTATGTGAACAAATAAAAAATAAATTCCCAAATAGGATTGTGAACGTAAGAGATGAATTGGCAAAATAACTAAAATTTAATATGATTTGATCGTACAGTTTTATGAGGCTCTAAAGTTGGTTGTAGCGCGGATATCTCCAAAAAGGGTATTTCTTACTGTTCGCCCTCATAAGCTCGTGTTGCAATATTGTTGGACCATTTGTTACCCAAACAAAGCAGAATGAAATACGCTTTCGTTTGATATGTAGTCTCTTCAGATTTGACGAACGTTTATTTTTTTATTAAGCCTCAAGTTCGAATCTACATAGTTTTTACCCCCGCAACTTGTAGTTTAGTTTAGTAAGTCAACCAATAAAAGGGGTACCTGAAAGTGATTTCCGGAAAGCTAAAAATCATCACTTTTAGTTTGTGTTGAAAATACGCGTTCCCACTTCTACAAATGGTAGCAATAATTTTGCACGAATTTACGTTAAATGCATGTGGTTAACTGGTTACCTACTTATTAGTTATTCCCTTCGCAAAATCTGTGTGGTTTATTATAAAAAAGCGACAAAAAGATTACTCATGCAACTTTATAGAACCCATTCCTATAGTTTCAGGATAGAGTATCCGCACTTAGCATTGGCACGTGCAGGCTATCGACCAAACCAATCAATGAAGTTCTGCTCATTATTTTTAAATAACAAATTAAAAAAAAACAATGTATGCATAACTTACTTTTCTAAGTCTTCTTCCGCATTCAGCGCTTGTCGTAGTCGTACCAAAGCTTGTAGGATGTATTCAGGATTCTGGCCTTCGACTGATATTGGTGCATAATATCCAGGACTGGAACAAAACATTGTACATTTAAGAATTCTGATAAAGTAGTGCTCAATACTAGATATACTCGTACTTCTACCAGCAGCTAGGTATATCTAGATAGCTTTTAGGAGTTAGGTTTTCGAGCATGTCCTTGCAATTTACTAAAAATACTAATCCGAGATGGTGCAACCCTAAATAGCGGCAAAAATTATGATATCGATAGTATTTGGCGAGGTATTTGGTATTTGGCGAAGCAAAACTTATATATATATAAAATTTCAAAAACATTTCCTCCGTCCTTCTTGATACAAAAAGTGTTTTAACAAATTTGCGTGTATACTTTACGTATTTAAAAAAAACGGTGGCAAACCGTTTTTGTACACAACATAATTAATTCAATTCGTAACAGCGTTGGGCGAAGACGATTGTATATAAAATTTAGTTCAATAGTTAATAGACAAGTTAGTACTCGTATGTTATTTAGATTCATGTTTTGTTGATTCGAAAGTGTTGTGGCTAAAAATGATTGTCAATTAATCAAGGCGTGGCGATATACTCGTACCTCTATGACTAGGCAACACAAAAAGAAAGATTGTCATAAGAAGGTAAGATCCTGTATAATACAGCAATCGTGAAGTCTTCAACTTCGAAAGTCCTACGTAGTTGCGGTGACAGGACAGGGACTTTCTTCTTTCTTGAGGATGACGGTTGTCAGAAAGTCGGCATGGGTTGTTTTTCTAGTTTATTGAAGTATGAAGTATGGCGTAGGTACTCCAGGCTATTGTTTTGTGTACTGTTGCTTGAAACAACTTTTGTTTGTTAAGAGGTACAGCTTGTACAGGGGGTTACGCTTATATTATTAAGAATTTTGTCTGTATATGTTCGTGGTCGTGCCGGTTGTAAATCTTGTGCTTAAGCCATACGACGGGGGGCTCATTAATTCTTCTTCTGTTTAGTATATGGGTATGTTTGGGGGATAATCGACTGTAACTTGGATACTGCTTGCATTCCCACTGCACACTTTACGTGTTAAATTAATGGTAGACGATACTGGAGCAGATCCGTGTCCATCTTGATGTTTTTTAGCTACATGCAATTGATCACTTTACAAGTTGTTTTGCCTAAATTCAACCGAAACGCAAAAGGAAACAAAACATTTAATGAAACATAAATTGTAGACAATTACATTTTTATTTACAGTCTGCGACGCCCACAAGCCTAACTTCAATCGACTAACTGTCTAAGAATAATAAGCATTACAACGGGTGCATGTAGTTCCCTGTCGTTGGCTGTTAGATTTTTTTTATTATTTAATTAAGCTTTTCAAGGTTCGTAGGAGCCTTATATCAGCTATCCTTTATTAAAGATAAACTAAATATACCTACATAGATATATATTTACATAGTAGTTCCTTAGTAGATATCATATAACTAAATTGGTCGACCGATTGCATCTAAGAATTTAACAATGGGTTCACAAGCAGTAGAGTTAAGATAAAACAATAGGTAGTCTACGTGTAGCGGTAATTCTTAATTAAATTTAATCTTTGATCGTTGTAAAGATCACATTGCCATAAAACATGATTTAGGTCCTAATTCTAATCACCGCACGCAGCACATTTTGGATCATCTACGATGTTGACCCTGAACAATGAGGCAGCAAGATTGTAGTGATCCGCTCTGCATCTAATTATTGATACTGTAATATTACGATTTACTCTACACCTTTTCCACTTTTATTCGAGAAGTTGTAAATTGAATTTGAGAATTGTTACTTGTATTTGAGAAAACGTCAAAGTAGATGAGAATAGTCAGTTGGATTTGAGAAAACATCAAATGTATTTGAGAATAGTCAATTGTATTTGAGAAATTATCATTTAATTTTATTGTATTTCAGAATGTAATATTATTCCTAATGAATTATAATTAAGAATCAAATTTTTATAATTCCGCTACTGTATGTAGTCCCGCAACAGAAGCAGCAGCATCAGGCTATGTTATACATGTGATTTTGTTATTGATTCTCAAATACTTAATTTTACCATTTCTTGAATACAATTTACTACCCTCAAATTCATTTGATGCCTTCTCAAATACAAATCACTATTCTGAACTACATTTGTTGTTTTCTCAAATACATTCTACTATTCTCAAATACAATTGATACTTTCTCAAATTAACTTGATAGTTTCTCGAATAAAAGTGGAAAAGGTGTAGATTTGTGGAACCAAGTTTTAGGCGAGTCATTGTAAAAAAGTTTACAATATTTGGAACCTTTATAGATGGATTGTTCTAAGCAGTAATCATTAGTGTTAATATATGAAGTTTTTTCAGTGAAAGGAATTATAAAGTTAGGGGCTAGGGGTTTTACTTGTGTAGGATTTTGCTAATTCATCGACAGCCTCATTTCCCAATATGCCAGAATGAGATGGATGCCATACGAAGATTATATTTTTGCTTGGATCTTTTGCCATAATTTTGTTCTATTCGTATTTGATTTTGAGAATACAAAAATTTAAATTTATATTAATTTTGGCTGATTCTAGACATTGGAGCGCACTTTAGCGAGTCAGATATTATCGCGAAATTGGCAACTTGACTATTTCCAATTGATTCTAAAGCTTTTACAATGGCAAAACATTCTGCAGTAAAAATTGACGTATCTTTTGGTAGGGCTTATATCTTTGAATGCCTATACTATCTCACCGTATTTGGACATGGATATGCTGTTCCGGAATTTTTAGTATGAAAGTGAATTATCCAAAATTTGTTAAATTTCAGGTATTATGAGATCAAGGCGGTTCTTTAAACGGCTCTTTTTTATTCTTGTTATTAAAGACAAATTGAAAAACAAATTTTAAAGTTATTGGAAAGTTTTTTTTATTTTATTGCAAATGGGCTTGTAGCTACAAAAATTGTCGATCGCTTTTGATTTAATAACACTACCTAATGAAAGTTTTTCAAATCCAAGTGTGCGAGGTTTAAGTTGAGCCGCGGAGAAGCAAATAGGCTGTTCCGCATCAGTAGCTGTTCCGTCCAGAGACTTGTTATACCATAACAAGTCTCTGGTTCTGTCATGTCAACTTCATTACCTACCTACTTCATCTGTACTAGTCTAAAGTCTTCACTTTACACACGTGTGTCAGAAACTACAGTTTCCTCATATAGAAGCTATCGATGTTCACTACTGAACTACGAAAATGGTGTTTCATAAATACAACATTAACTAAGTTATAGGACGATCGTTACTCAACAAAATGTTAGTAATTGGGTATTCTGTGCATTATACAGTGGGTTAGTGCGTTGTAGAGAGTTTCCAAGTCGTTAATTATTACTACAATAAATTCTAGTTAGGTACCGAAATATAGCTTCACCAATATCGTTGTGATACTCTAATTTTTACTTCAAACGTGTAACACTATAAGCATCAATTAGATTAGTCTAGGATTGATCTAAACTCGTACAAGGACACGAAGACGGAGGGAAAGGAAAAGTCAACAATTTAAATAAAAAGGCGAGAAATACAATGGAAAAAATTGCAAGGAATATGTCTTTATCACAGTTACAATATAATATGTTCTTAAATTGGGTTCCAGAAGTCATGACGTGCAAATCCCGATTCAGGTAATACAATTATTTCACACAATAATTATATTTTTTCAACGCGTGTAGTTGAAGTTTCGCCTTGCAACACGAAATTGTGACTTTCAACTTGAAATTTCGACTTATAACACGAAATTCGTCAAAAAATAAAAACAAATTGATGCGGCCCCTCCGCGCTTCCGTAGTTAAGTACCTACCTGTTACTGGGCCCTGGGGTGTCTTGGATTGACTTTAATAAATAAAAAGTAGGTACATTTAAAAAAATTATAAAAAAGCAAGATCAATAAACCGATACAACGAAATATCGAGGGATCCCCAGTATTATAATCACTTTTAACGACAATTTATTTTAATCTTACAAAATATATTTTATAGTTAACAAAAGTGCATCAAATTCATGTCTTGGAGATTGAAATAATGCTATTAATTTTGTTCCCAACGATCTCAGTCCAAGAATAACGATTTTGACATGTTTTGATCAAAATCCATGTGGTCGCCAGAAATGCATCTCTGAATTTATGTCTTGAGCATTGAGATTATGCTCTTAGTTCTTTCCCAACGATCTTGGTGCATAAATAACCATTTTGACATGTTTGATCAAAATTCATGTGTTCGCCAAAAATAGATCAAATTCATGTTTTGGTGATTAAGATAATGCCCCTAGTCTTTTTCCCAACGGTCTTGGTGCATAAATAACGATTTTGACATATTTTGATCAAAATCCATGTGACCTAGGAAACGTAATTTAACATCTTTGAATCACACACATGCGCTTACCAAATGTGCACGTGATGCACTCTTTCAGCGTCAAGATAATGCGTTTGAAAACTTTTAAAACTCCAAATTCATGTGTAAAAAATAATTTTGGGTACATTTTGCTCTAAAACTTTTGACCTATACCACAGAGAAGAGTTATATTCTATTGTTACACATCTAAGAGTCATAGAGAATAGTCTAGCGAAAATCCGAACTCATTACATGAGTTAAGTAGTTAGGGAATTAAATATGTTGAATTCTTTTATATTGAGCCCGCAGTTTTTCCTATTCCCGATTCACTCGAAGTCCTTTAACTCTTGTTCCTGTTGAACTAGCTTCCTGAAAATCAATAGCGTCCGTCCTTAATGTCCAAAGTACCCGTACACCAAATTCAACACAATCGGTCACTTTTAACAAGAGTTAGAGCGCACACGGACGGACGACAATTCAAAACTATAAAATAAAAGGATCTGAAGTTAATCGAATATGCTCATGTTAGAGTTAAGTACTACTGAACGATCATACTGTTTTTTTACATCTTACTAAGTGTGCTACATTACATAGGCTTCAGTACTATGCGATCAAAAATGAGTGGCTGGTCAGTGGCCTTTGGAATTTTTGTTTATGAAGCGTCCCTGATAGTGCCTACCAGGGACGCATCCTCAC